TGAGGGGCTCGATCCTAGGACCCTGGGATCATGACCTGAGCCGAAGGCAGAGGCCTTAAACCACTGAGCCACCCAAGCGCCCCTACTCTTTTATTTTTTAAAAAAGATTTTATTTTTTCATTTGAGAGGGAGAGAGAGAGCAAAAGCAGGGGAGAAGCAGAGGCAGGGGGAGAGGGAAAAGCAGGCTCCCCGCTGAGCCGGGAGCGTGACATGGGGCTCGATTCCAGGACCCTGGAGGTTGTGACCTGAGCTGAAGGCAGATGCTTAACCATGTGAGCCACCCAGGCACTCCTCTTTTGCTCTTTTAAAAAGTGGGTTGTTTTCTATTGTTGGCTTTTGAGAGTTCTTTATGAATTCTAGGCACAAGTCTTTTTATCAGGTATGTGATTTATGAATAATTTTCTCCCATTCTGTGGCTTGTTTTTTCATTATTTTAACAGTGTCTTTGGAAGACAAATGTTCTTATTTTTGATGATGTCTTATTTATCAATTTATCTTTTTTTTCTGGGTCATGATTTTGCTGTTGTATATGAGAAGTCTCTGCCTAAACCAAAGTCCCATGTTTTCCTGAAACATACAGTGAAATCTTAACAGTGTCAGGTTTTGCATTTGGGTGTATGAACATTTTGAGTAAATTTTATGTCTTTTGTGAGGTTTGAATTAGTTATATGCATAACCAATTTTTCTATCACCATTTGTTGAAAAGATTGTCCTTTTTTTAGTTGCCTTTATTTATTTGCAAAAAAATAAAAGTATAATCTATGATTTGCAGGTATTTTCTCCCATTCAGTAGGTTGTCTTTTTACTTTCTTGGTGCCCTTTAAAGAGCAGAAGTTTTTAATTTTGGTGAAGTGTAATTTATCTTTTTTTTTTTTTTTTTTTTGGTCATTTGTGCTTTTGGCATTATAGCTAAGAAATCATTGCCTAATTACAGATCATGAAGATTTACTTTTTGTTTTCTTCTGAGTTTTATAGCTATAGCTCTTATATTGAGGTCTCTGATCCACTTTCGGTTAATTTTATATATGGTGTGAGGTAAGGGACCCAACTTCATTATTTTACATGGAGATATCAATTTATCCTAGCATCACTTGCTGAAAATATTCTTTCCTCATTCAATTGTCTTGGTACACTTGGCAAATTATCAACTAACCATAAGTGGAAGGGTTTATTTCTGGACTCTCAACTTTATTCTGTTGATCTGTAGTTCTATCTTTATGCCAGTACTTAATTACCGTAGCTTTATAGTAAGTCTTGAAATTGAGTAGGAGTCTTCCAATTGGTTCATCTTTTTCAAAATCATTCTGGCTATTCTGGTTGTTTTGTTTTTTCCATATAAATTATAGACTCAACTTGTTAATATCTTTTAAAATATCCTGCTTAGGTTTTGATTATGATTGTGTTACATCTATACAAATGTTTGGGGAGAATTAACATTTGAACAATATTGAGTTATCCAAATATGTGAATGTGGTATACCCATTTGTTCAGGTCTTTTTTTTTTTTTCCTCCTTTCATCAGTGTTTTATAGTTTTCAGTGACCAGGTTTGCATGTTTTTGTTAGTTTATACACAAATATTTCATAGTTTTTGTAATAATTTAAATGGTACTTTAAAAGATTTCATGTCACATTATTTATTGCTTACATATAGAAATAGAGTTGCTTTTTATATTTTGAACTAGTATCCTGTGATCTTACATTGTTATATTTTTTAAACTTGCTTATTAATTCTAGTAGCTGTTTTGTAGAATTTGAGGGGGATTTTCTGCATGTCATCTGCAAATATAGACAGTTTTATTTTTTTCTTTAAATCTGTATGCCTCTTATTTCTTTTTCTTGTCTTACTGCATAGTTGAGAACCCCCAGTACCATGCTGAATAAGAGTGAGAAAGGGGTCGACCTTGCTTTCTTCCTGGTCTTAGCAGGAAACATTCAGTCTTTCGCTATTAAGTACAGTGTTCACTGTAGGTTTCTGTATATGCCATTGATCAGATTGAAGCATGTCCCTTCCATTCCTAATCTGTTAAGTTTTTCTTTTTTATCTTGCCTTGATGTTGAATTTTTTCATACACTTTTTCAGTAATTATTGAAATAACCATATAGTTTTTCTATTCAGTCTGTTAATATGGTGAATTACCTTGATTTTTCAAAGTTGAACCAGCCTTCCATTCCTGGGATAAACCCCATTTGGCCATGTTGCATTATCATGATACATTATCCTATCTGAGGGTAGCTTCTCATCTTTTCCTTCCCGGTTTTTCCTGTTTTTAGTCATCTGGCACCTTCCTCTCCTTTCAAAAGATATCTCCTAATTAGAATGTTCTCCAGCATTCTCTGGAGATTGTTCCTTCAGCCTTCTCCTCCATTTCATTCTCTCTCCTTCCTTCTCTCTCAGTGGGCCCCAGTGGCTTCCTGGAAGCTTGTCTCATTGGTTACTTGTGTTGGTAACACTGTAAGCCACAGTCTGTTTCTTCCTGAACCTTATCCCCCTCGTCTTTGGGGCTCTTCCTTCTGAGTCAGCTCTGCCTGTCCTGGCCCCCAGCCTCACATAGGTCTTTGGGCTTCTGTGGCAGCCTCCTGACCAGTCTCCTACTCCCTACACTACTCTTGCCCCCGATGGGACTTCCTGAAGCTGTGTGCTCATCCTGCTATTCTTTCCTTCAATAGTCCTTCATTTCCTGTTGTATAAGGGCTGTGTCAGGCCTCCTCAGCCTGACATTCAGATGCCCCTTCAGTGTGGTCTGGTCTGCCTTTCCAGCTCTATCTTCTCTCTGTGGACTTCCCCTCAGGATCATAGAGCCCGAGTTATTTATTCAAGGACCCTGAGTACCTCACAAATTGAGCATCATGGATACTCTTTCCAGGGTATAACCTTTCCCATGCCAGACTTGCCAGCTATGCCCCCAACCCCAGGGCTAATGTGCCCTGGCCTGCCCAGGGGGTCTCCTCTTGCCTCCCCAAGATCTTCTCCTTTCTTTCTTCCTTGGTGTGAGGCTGTTTCTGCTTCTTGTCGCCAGTTCTTTGTCAGTCTTGACCACTTATCTCTTCACCTGGATTGTAAGCTTCGTAGAGCACGGGTTTTCTTTCCTTGTGATGAGTAGGTTGTGTTTTTCTCTGCTGTGTTTTTACGTGAAAGGGAGTTCTGAGGTGGGTGGGTCGGGGTGGAGTTTGGGGGAGTTATGAGTCATCATCAGGGTTGGTGGAGCTGGTAATCAGTTTGCCCCTTCCCCGAAGACACATCCAGGAAGCGTCTGGAGGTGCTCAAGGGGACCTTACAGTGTCCTTCAGCTAGGAAACCAGGATTTATTGTGCAACCAAGGAGAAAACAAGACTTCAGGATGGGAAAGACAAAGTCTCTTTCTTTCTTTCTTTCTTTTTTTTTTTTAAGGATTTTATTTATTTATTTGACAGACAGAGATCACAAGTAGGCAGAGAGGCAGGCAGAGAGAGAGGGGGAAGCAGGCTCCCTGCTGAGCAGAGAGCCCAGTGGGGGGCTCGATCCCAGTACCCTGGGATCATGACCTGAGCTGAAGGCAGAGGCTTTAACCCACTGAACCACCCAGGTGCCCCCAAAGTCTCTTTCTATTGACGGATTGGGACAGTCACAGTATAGGTTATTTCCAAGGAAACGTGGCACCACATCCAGCATGGGGCCCACATGGCCTCCAGGCCTAGGCTGGCCAAGGACCCTGGGCAGAGTCAGCATACATCAAAGCTGGGCTGGAGAAAACCTTCAGGTGAAACACAGACCTGAGTGCAGGACAGGACTTCTAGGTTCCAGAGACAAAGAGGCCCCTGGAAGAAGGGTGTGGGGAGGCTGTCTATCAGGTCACAGTCAGGCGCTGAACTCCAAGAAAGCTTCAGGAGCTATAGCAGAAGGTGCCAGGGGCCAATTGGCGTTCTCTTCTGTCATGGAGACTAAGAATTAAGTTTTGGGAGGGAGTGATGGGTCTGGGGAAGCCTGAACATCTTTGCGTGGCTTCTGTCCTGTGTGGCCTGAGGCAAGGGCAGGACCAGCGTAAGTTTACCCAGATACCCCAGGAGCTACACCTGCCAAGAAGAAGTTTGTCTCAACAGCACCTTTGCCAGGATCTGAAATGTGCTGTGTAAACTTGCTTTTGTGGGGTGTGTAGTGTTGTGTTCTGTTTTCCCTTAGCTTTTCAGTAAATACTTCTTTCCAAAGAATTCCAACCTTGTCTCTGTGACCTGAGGGGCAGTAGTATTTTTCCACACACACATCTCCGTCACCACAGAGAAGGGCATGAGTACGGAGCAGAGGGCGATGGTGGCTGCTCGCCAGCTGGTGCAGAGAAGCAATGGAAGCCCAGGAAGAGGAGAGGGGACCATCCGTTGACACTGACCCCTGCTGGCTAGGGATTCTCTCCTTCTCTCAGTCCCCAGAGGAGTCAGCACAGTGCTGGGTATCTCAAGGGTAGCCAGCACTGCTTGCTTCTCTGCAGTTGATCCTGGGGAATAATAAGCTAATATAAAAATAACCATCTCAGGCTTCTCTCCAAATGGGCAGTCCTTTGTTCTATGCTGGACTTTATCACACTTTCAAAACATGAAATCCCATGACCCTTATGGAACCTTCTTTGCAATGCCCCTGCCAGCCCCAGTGTATACACAGCTCCCTCATAGCATTACCAATATGCTGAAATTTTCATCGCTGGGGCTATGGGCACTTACAGTATGATTATTCAGAGACTCAGTTCCTTAGGGCCACAGCCTGTCACCTGTCACAGGCCAGCCAAGCTTTGGGCTTCGGGGAAGTCAGAGAGCCTGACCTATGATGCATGGCTACTCCCTGCGGCCAGCCGTGGCTGGGTGTCCTTGGCATTGGTTAACTCACAGGTAGGTAGGTGTGTGTGTTTGTGCGTGTGCGCTAATGTGGAAGCTGGGAGCTCCACGCTTTGGGGCTGGAGGATTAGGGTTCGGGCTCCTGTGACTGGTGCCTGCTCTGGGCCTGAGCTCCGTGTCTTCATCTCTCCCTCTGCAGCTTGTCTCCAATGTCCTCATTTTCTCCTGCACCAACATCGTGGGTGTCTGCACCCACTACCCGGCTGAGGTCTCCCAGAGACAGGCCTTCCAGGAGACCCGGGAGTGCATCCAGGCACGACTCCACTCACAACGGGAGAACCAGCAACAGGTGAGGCCCTCCTGTCCTTGTGTGGCTACAGGGAGCAGAGGCCCCAGACCTGCCTCAGCCCAGCTGCCTGTCTCCCCACCAACTGTGCTCCTTGGAGCTGCCCAGCCCCACCTCCCTGGGCAGGGACCCAGCCAGAAGGGAATGTTTTCCCTGGAGGGAGCCTAGCATTTCTGGCTCTGTGGGAATGCTTTATGGAGACTTTGGAGAAAACTCTACCTCTGAGTTTGCCTATTGCCTCCTCAGCATCCACCTGTGGGCTGCAAACAAGCCAAATCATCCAGGCCCTGGGCACCAGAGTGGGCTCTGCCCCCTCCCCAGTGCTGATGAGTGGGAGCACTAAGAGCTTTAGTGTTCCCATCTGGGATTAAGGTGCTCCCTGGGAGAGAGGAAAGGAGGTGGATCAGTCAGCTCCTGGGACACCCTCACTAGGCACTTTCTCTGCACTGAGTTCTGGGGTTTAGTTGGTTCAGAGAAAGGATGATGGACCTTGTCTCACCCTAAACCTCACTCTCAGAGAAAGTTTGGGCCGGGAAGGAAGCAATTCACATGGGTCACAGGCTCAGAGGGCTGGGGCTGAGGGAGCTGGCCCTGCGTGCTCTCTTGGGTGGGGGCCAGGCAAGGACTGAGAGTTGTGTCAGGGTGCCCCCCACAGCTGCCCAGCATCCTGTTTGGGGCTCAGGACCATTGTGCTCTCTCTTGCATGTGAACCACATGCGGTCTGGGGACTCTGGGACATGATGGAGCTGAAGAGCTCACAGGAGCCCCTGAGGTGGGGCTGTGTGACCCCAGGGAGAATATGGGCAGGTCAGCAGGGTGACGGGGTCCCGACTGGACTCGGACTAGGCATGGCTCTGAGAGATGAATTCTCCAAAGCAAGTTCTCCTCTCTCCTTATGTTCATGTCTACCTAACGAATATGAGTGGAGTCCTGCTGCCTTTGAGCTTGGGGACAAGGGAGACAAAAGCCTAGACAGCAGTGGTCCCCTGCACCCTCCTCGCTTGCCCAGAGGGCATGCTGGGGACACCCCAAGTGCACAGCAGTCTGACCCCAGTGTGAGAGGGTCTCTGACTCTGTCTGGATGCCTCCCAAGGAGTTATGTGACACGGGTTGGCCAAGTCCGAATGGCTGAGCAAAGAAAGGCGTGAGGCTCTGCGGTGTCTCTCCAGCACTGCACCCCTCCCCACCTTGCCCCAGCGGCCGCCTGGCCTGTCCCTGCTTCCTGTCCAGCCCTGCTGCTCTGGCCTTTGAGTCTTGCCAGTCCCCAGCTCATGCTGTCCAGTCGGAGGCCTGCCACGCCCCAGGCATTCTTTCAGCCCTCTCTGAACTCCTGGTCTGGCTCTTGAATGAACCCCATGCTTGGTGGTGTCCCTGTCTTTCTTTGACAAGCTTGTTGCCCTTCTGCCCCCTACCCTGAGCTCCTCCATGCCTCAGGAGCCACCTCTTGTCCCAGTTCAGGCCCTGGCATCGCTCATCTGAGATCGGGGTGTCTTTCTTCCCTTTTTTGTCAGGGAGTGTCCCCTGTCATGTCCCCTGTCACTCCTAAGCCTTGTTCTTTCTCCAGTAAAATGCGTATTTTACAGCTCATCACAGCTGATTTGCACTGGCCCTGGCCAGGCTGGACATTCCAGCAAACCCACAGGGATTTGGGGGAGAATATCCATTTGCTTTACCATGTTCTGAGCCAAGAGAGCAGGGAGGGGAGGAGTGCTTCCTGGGGACAGGCACTCCTCACCCAGCCAGAGCCCAGCAGCTCTGGGGCCTCCCCCACCCTCTGCAGAAGGTGCTGTTCTTTGGGTCCTTGGGGTGGCACTCCGAGGTGCCCCCTGATGGTGGGACTCCAAACTGTTGTCCAGCCATCTGCACCCATGCCCCAACCCTCAGACCCAGAAGTGGTTAGAAATGTGGGAAGGTCTCTCCCGCATATAACTATAGAGAGCACCCCTTCCCCCAGCTGCACTGTATTGCCACAGAATTGTCCTTTAGTTTGTGTGTCTGTCACCAGGAACTGCTTATTGAGAGTTCAGTAAATAGCCATTGAAGGCCATGTCCACTGATGCTCATGGAGACCGAGAGCATCAGTGAGCACCTTCAATGCATTACCAGTGTTTTCCAGGCCCAAGGCTGTCACTTGTGGAGCTGAGCGCGACACAGCTCCGTCCTCGGGGCTGTCTCATTGCATGTGCTGCAGGGAGACCCCATTAACAGACCATGACATACTGAGTGATCAGGGACTTGGAAGGAAGACCCTGAGTGGTGGGGGATGCCTCTGCCAGAGCCGGGACCCTCCCCACGGGAAATGGAGCCAGGAAGGAGGGTCCCAGCATATGTGAGGATGGTGATTCTAGATGAGCTTGTGTGCAAAGGCAAGGAAACACTGCCAGGAGCTTGGGAAGCAGCTCGTGGTTCACTGTGTCTGGAACAGAGCTCTGTGTGCTGGGCCCAGGGAGGGGTAGAGGGGAGCCAGATCATGGAAAGCTTGAGGCTAGGCTGGGCTTATGGGCTAGTTTTGGAAGCCTTGGGAAGCACAGGGGGGTTTTACGCAGGGCAGTGATGGGGTCAGGTGTATGTTTTAGAAAGACCACTCACTGGCTTGCAATGTGGATGGTGGATCAGAGGCAGCATGCTGGGATGCAGAAGCCGCTGCAGGGACTGCCCTGGTCGCCTGGGAGGGACTTGAAGGTTGCCGAGACCTGCGAGAGCCAGGCTGGGATGGTAGAGGGGTTTCAAAGGATAAGAATGGCAGCCAGGCCTGGGTTGATGGGAGCAGGCCAGGCATGGGAAAGGGGGCAGGTAGAATGGGGTTGTAGTGGAAAATAAAGAGGCGTGGGTTCATTGGGTCCAGAAGAATGCACATTTGATGCAGCTGATGGAACCCAGGGAAGCTTTGGAGGCTTTGAGCTGGGGAGTGGCATGACAAAGGCAGTGTGCTGGAGAGACTGGGGCCATACAGGGAGTGAGGAGGGCTACGGTGGGGCCGGGGCCATCTGTCTGGGATGGGATGGCCAGAATCCCACAGTTGGGTGAGAGAACTACGTGTAGGCAGTGGAGGGGGCCGTGGAACTGGAAGGCCGAGAGCCCACACCCACAGGACTTGGTCAGAGCTGGACAGCACCTGGGGCCAAAGGGACAGGGATGAATCTCAGAGGGAAAGTTCTGAAGAGTAAAAGCAGTTACGTGGGTGGGGTATTGACCTTCTGACCAGGAGGATGGGGGCTGACATGGGCAAAGGCAAGAACTTGAAGAGCCACTGGGGAATAGAAACCTGGGAAGGGGAGGTGGTTTCGGGTGTGGCATCAAGGTTGCAGTAGCCAGTCATCGAGCAGGCAGCTGGAGACACGGAGCCTGGACAAGGTCTAGGGGGCAGGGGGTGGTGGGAAAAGGAGCTGGTGGAAACTATGCTCAGAGGGGTGAGAGTGAGCAGAAAGAGGAGAGAGGCACGGATGTGCTGTGTGGGGGGGCAGGAGGAGGGAGAGAGGCCAGAAAGATGCAGGAACAGGAGCAGAGTCTTAGGGCCACACATCCAGGGGCGAGTGATGGGAGAATGAGGAGGCCTGGGCCAGCCGGGGTGAAGGGTCCCAGGTGGGAGAAGTCTGTGAGCTAGGCTAGCAGAGCGCCTGGCATGGGTAGTGGGCTGTCCGGGCGCAGGGCGAGGTCGCCCATTCCTGAGGCTGCTGGACCTCTTGCAGCAGGCGGGACTGGGAGGAGAACGTGGAAGGGAGGCAAAGTTGGGACCCTCCCCTCCACAGCGTGCTCCTGGCGTGCTCCTGGCCCCTCTCCCTGCTACTCTCCCTCCTCCTCTTTGACAGGTCTTAGCTTCTCTCAGGTTCTCAGAATCCGTGTGCTTTCCCCCTCCGCTGGTACTATCCCTGACGTGGAAATGGAGCACCCCAACCTCATCCTTCTGGTCCCCATGAAGCCCTCTCTGGCCACCCCATTCCCCCCAGCCTGGGTCAGTTACCCCTGTGCAGTGTCCCATAGTACTGCGTAATCCCACAAGACTGGGAGCTTTGTGGAGGAGAAACCTTGCCCCTCCCACAGTCGTAACTCGGGGACACCAGCACGGTGCCCGGAACATGGTTGGAGCTCAGTATGTGTTTGATGACTAATTGAGTGATGTCATGCTCTCAGCAGCCCCCTCCCTATTTATAGATGGGAAAGCTGAGGCTCCGAGAGGTTCAGTCATTTGCCTGTGGTCACACACAGTCTCAGGTGACATCCAGGATTCCAGGGGGCTCAGTACTGGTTCACCAGGTGTGCTCTTCCCCAAGTACCTGCACAGAAAACCCGGGTGGTCTCCCAGGGAGAAGAGTCCAAGTAGCCCTGAGGCATCACGCTGGCCTCACCCCCACATGAGTGTTCGCTCCTTGAATTTCAGGCCAGCCTGAGGAGTTCTCCAGGGCCCTGTGGGTGGGGGGGCTCAGGTGCTGAGGAGTTGGCCTGGGGAGGGAAGGGGACTGCCAGGCAGGCGGAGGGAGCTGTGATGAAAGCATGTGCTTCCCTCCCCAGGAGCGGCTCCTGCTGTCTGTCCTGCCCCGTCACGTTGCCATGGAGATGAAAGCAGACATCAATGCCAAGCAGGAGGATATGATGTTCCATAAGATTTACATCCAGAAACATGACAACGTGAGGTAGGAATGAGGCTGGGGGGCGAGGGCAGTGTGGGAGGACTGATCCCCAGGGAGGCAACATCTCCACTTTCTGCCCTTCCAAGGGAGGTCTGTGGCTGATCTGACTGCGTGGTCTGTGGCTTTGGGGTGTATTGTCTGGGTTGCCCCAGCCACGTGGCACCCTCGAGGTTGGTGAAGTGAATTATTAAGGGGAGGCCCCAGGGAGAAGCTAGGGAAGGAAGGAGGAGAAAAGAGAAAGCAGTAGCACCAGCTGTCGGGGAAACTCCTAGCCTAACAAGGGTGACAGAAAGCCAACTTGGGACCTGCATGTTGCTATTATCATCTCCATTTTCATCATTATCTAGCAGCTTCCATTCCTTCTGAGCCTGTGTGTGACAGGCATTATGTACCTCATTGCCAGTCCTCCTGACCATGCTGCAAGGTGGGCTCCTTTATCAGCATCCCTCGTTTAGAGACTGAGCTCAGAACAGCTAAGACCCTTGCCCAGGGTCACTCAGCCAGGAATGGTAAAGGGCGGTGCATTCTGGTCAGCCTGCCCCAGAGCCCATGCCCCTTTTACTGCACATTCGCCACTTCTCTAGAGGGAAGCTGCTGACGGCAGGCCCGTGCAAACAGATGTAGCCTAATAGAGTGTACAGCCTGCTTCGGAGCTCTGTGGGGATGGGGAGTGGCTCAGTGGTCTTCCTGCAGCATGGCTTCCTGGAGAGCCCAGGAATCATCCCACAGGCCCAGAAAAGGAGCTGCTGAGGCTGCCTTTAAGAGAATGACTCTCTCCCTGGGCAGGTTTTCCTTGGACCCACAAATTCCAAGGCTGGTATAGAGGGAACCCTCTGGAGGCTTGGGCTGAATTTTCATAAAGGGATTAAATGGAATAAAATGAATAATGGTGCACACACCTACACGCACACACTGATAAATGTGCACTCAAGGCAAGGCTGATGGCTGCAGGGGTGGGGAGGACACCGTTTTCATGTAGAAATCATCAGAATTTCAGGCGCAATTGCCCAGTTGCCAAGCGTACCCCGGAATCCAAGACTGTTGGTTGCCCTTGTGTCCTGTATCCATCTTCCAAAAGAGATGCTAAGCCTTTGGGAGAAAGAGGTTACCTGAACGACACTTGTGTCCTCAGTTTTTGGGGTACCCTGATCCCCCCGAAGCCCACGCATGTTCACTGTCAGGCAGGGAGAGCGTCGCCAGTGGTGGGAAGAGGGCTGCTGCAGGCCGAGTCCCCATGCCTGCTCAGGAGGCGTTCCGAGGGGCCGTGGGCTCTGCTGAGCCGAGCTCAAGAGAGGAGAGTAGGGCCTGGGATTAGGCAGGTCATGCTGACATATTGGTTCCCCACTTCTTCTCACACCCCTCTCTGCCCCCACAAGGTAGAAAAATTGCTCACAACAACAGTCATATTCATCTAGTGCCTCCTTTAACCCAGCACTCTTCTGAATACTTTCAAACATTTGCTGAGTCCACAGCGTACATATAAGAAGTTGGTGCTACTATTATCTCTATTTTGCAGGAAACTGAGGCATAGAGATTAATTTGTCTAAGATCCTAGAGCTGGTTAAGTGGGACAGCTGCCCCCAGGAAACTTTTCGGTATCAGAATTCTTACCTAGCCTTACTAGGTGTTTTTTGCATGCCCAGGAGAAAGGAGTATGTATGAGGATTTGTGGGAAGGAATCTCGGGGAGTCCCCAGCCAAGGGGAGACTCTGGAGAGAGGTTTGGCTTCTAGAGAGAGAGAAAAAGAGAGAGAGACAGACACTATGGACCCACCAGGGGCCTTTCCTGTTTAGCAACCCCTGAAATCTGGGGGACTCTAGGACACTTAAAGAAATAGCCTTCCCTGTTAGAACACATCCTGGAGGCCCAAAGTTCAGGTGGGAGCTGACACACAGGAACCCCTGTGCTACCCGCTTCTGGGATACTCTCTCTCAGTCCCGTCTTCAAGGCCTCACGGGCCCTGGCATTGTTCCAAGCACAGCACAGACAAAAGGTGCTTTTCTTGATTGTTCTCAGCTCGGCAGAGCATCTGGCTGACTCTGCTAAAGTATGATGTCGAACACGTAGGGAATGCAGAAAATTCCCAGCTCAGAAACAGTGTGGCAGGCAAGGCGTAGGTTCTCAGCCTGGCTGGGCTAGCACATCTGCCCACTTCTGCATCTCTGCCCCACACCTGGCCCTCTCACCCCTCTGTCTCCTGCCCCTCCGTTGCTTTGGGCCCCCAGCTCTCCAGCAAGGTGGTTGGGGCAGAGGGGCTGACTCGGGCCTCTTCTGCCACCATAAGGAGTCACCCGCTCCTGGGGAGACATCCCCTCATTTTTCCACTCCCAGGGAGGCTGTGACTTTGGGTAAAGCAAAGAATAATACCCTAATCACAGAGTGACCCGAGTGTCCATGTGGCAAGAACCAGACCCCTCCCGCCAAGCCCCCAGGGGGGTATTTCTGTTTTTAGATGAGCTAAGGATCAATGCAGCTGTCAGATGAAAGGGGAGAAAAATCAAGACGCTACCCTTTTCATAGGGATGGACATAATTCTGACTCTGAAATTGCCAGGCTGGTTATGGTTGGTACACACCATAGCCCAGCCATGAGCAATCAGATGCAAATAGCCCATGGGGGCCCTTCCTGTTCTGTGAGCAGCTGTGGCCGCAGGTCTTGATGGAAACACATTGCACGCTTAGTCTCTGACTTGGGTGCTGGGCTGAGTAGTGGGTGGAGGGGTGACATCAAGGTATAGAAAAGCACCCTGGGGCTGGGCTTGAGGTGCGGTGATTAGGTCTGGGGCCTGGGGTTAATCGGGCTCCGCTGTCCCCTGGCCATGTGAGCAGGGCAAGTGGGGGGCCTTGATACTCTGACCTTCAGTCTCCTCCTCTTCTTGAAGGGACGGGAAGGATACCAACTTAGCAGGGTTGTTCAGAGCGGATGAAAGGGTGTGATGGAAGCGCTTAGCACCGTGTCTGGCCCTGGCCACGTGTTCAGTAATTGGGAGCAGTGATTATCGTCGTTACTGCCATTATTGTGATGATTATCACACTCCTATCAACAAAGCAAGGCCTGGGGATTCTCTAGCTGGAGCGTGGAAGGGTGATGAGTCACGTTTGTCAATTCTCTGTGGAGTTATAATATTTAGAGAGGGTGATGACATGCTGCTCTCTAGTCCCTACCGAGAACAAGGCCACAAGAAAAATAAATCAGCCCTGCATTGTGACAGACTGGGCTTGGATCTGCGGAAGGGCAGGAGACTAATGGGTGGGGAGAGTCTGGCCTGGGCAGGGAGGGGTGACAGCAGACCCCCACTGCCCGCTATGGCCTCCCCCTTTCCTGATGCCCGATAGAAAACTGCCCCTGGGACCTGCCGGGAACCTGTCAGATGCTTTGGTGCTGAGCCGCCGCTGGCAATGCACTGAGGTGGGCCAGGGGCCCAGGAACCTTTGGAGACCGCCCCCCGCCCTCGGAGTCCCCAGGCTCTCCTGTCTGACATGTAGTGACAGGTAGATATGTTTTAACCCTTCTGGCTGGACAGGGCAGCTGGGACCAGGGCCTGTGGCTGGGGTGTCAGACCTGTGGCTTGAGGGCCCTCCTCCCAGTCCTCTCCCCCCAGACACCTGCCTCTCCGGCAGCCAGGGCAGTGTGAAGATCAGAGGGAGGCTGTGCTGTCCTCCCCGCATTCCTGGGACAAAGGCCTCCAGCATGCCAGAGGCCTCTTCCTCTGTCTGGGAGGAGGGCACTGAGGTGGGAGGAAGGGGCTGGCCCTAGAAGTACGTAGCACATTCCCGTGGGTCACAGTAAACTTACAGATGCTGCCAGAACCCAGCTGTCACCAGGGGACCCTTGCCAAAATGTCACTGTTGTGGAGCCAGATGAATGTCTGTGTGGAGCAGCCTGGGTCACACCCCTCTCTGCCACGTATTGGCTGTGGGAACTCAGGCAAGTCACCTAACCCGAGCCTCAGGTGCCTCATCTGTGACATGGAGATGGTGATGTCCCCTCACTCATCCATTCAGTGGCTACTTTCCTCTGCTTCCACTGGTGGGACACTTAGCTACAGAGGCAGGGATTGAAATAGGAATTAAGAGGGACACTGTCTTCGATGTTGGGAAGCTTGCTTTCTCTTGATGAAGACATACAATAAACAACAGGTCAATCAGTAAATTGGGAATGAATCACATAAGGAATGGGGGTAGCGCTTTGCATTCTTACAAGCATATATAGATGTTACAAAACTTACCACTCAATTTTTCTGTTAGGATAAAAGCCACAAAGGAACAGAGCCCCTAAGAGAGAGCCCCAGGACTCACTCCTCGTGGGGTGCTGGGAGGGGAGATGAGGTAGAGTATGGAAAGCCCCTGCCAGGCCCCCCACCTGGGAGGTAGCTGCAGATTGTCTGCTCTCTGGAGGCGGAGCAGGGTATGTGGTGAGAGTCAAGGTCAGGTGACCAATACCCCAAAGGTTTCAGGGGGCAGGGAACGTCCAAGCCAGCCCTGAGAGGCTACTGAAGGATATGCTACTGCCCTATGGGTCCCAACTGAGAGAGACAGCTTGGCACCTGAATGACATGTCCTCACTCGGGAGCCCTGCGGTTTTAGAGGTTGTAGATGGTGGGGTGGGCTGGAGAGCCGGCTCCTCCAGGGGGCACTGGTCCTCACCTGGCTTCCTCCGTTTGGACCCCCAGAGGGGTTCTCGATGGAGAGCAGGTCTTGGCTCATTGGCTGGAATCAGACTCATTCTCAGGCGGCCTGGCCAAAGAGCTGTGAACTCAGGGGGTGGAAATGAGATAACAGCCAAATCCAAACTGGGGGGGGGGGATGTGTGGAGGGGGCTGGGGAGGGCTCCCTCTCCCCCCTCCTCCCCCCTCCTCCCCCCTTCTTTCCTTCTCTCCCCAGCCTCTCCTGAACCTCCCCCTTTTAAGGTTATCATCTCCTCTCCCGTCTCCTTCAAGGACTTGGCTGTGTTCCCCAGGTCGTTCTGGAGTCTGGCTCAGCTGCGGCGCGGCTCTGAATTAT